TCAAATGTCCTATTGCTAAGGACATCAGGACAAGGCCTCGCTTCCTGTCCAAGGTGCTTAGGTGGGGGGCAGGCAGTTGGACTAGCGCAGTGGTCGGCAAACTCATTAGTCAACAGAGCCAAATATCAACAGTACAACGATTGAAATTTCTTTTGAGAGCCAAATTTTTTAAACTTAAACTATATAGGTAGGTACACTGTTATTAACTTAATCAGGGTTCTCCTAAGGCTTAGGAAGAGCCACACTCAAGGGGCCAAAGAGCCGCATGTGGCTCGCGAGCTGCAGTTTGCCGACCACCGGACTACCTCCCCCATTACTTAGACAGGAACCTGAGCTGAGCAGGCAGAGGTGGTTCATCACCATCAGAGAGCAAGCCGAGGGCAGGGCCGAGATTTGAACACAAAACCCCTGACCATTTGAATCGAACACCCTTCCCAGGATGTCACTGTGCACAATGTGCGAGGGATACGGAAAATGTCCGCTCTGATTTCTGACCTTCCAATATTTATCTGCGGTTACCCAACCTCCCAGCAGAGCCCAGGCCACAGGCTCATTACCGGGAGAGCTCTGTGCTCCTTTTGCTCCAAGGTTCCCTGCAGCTCTATGGGAAAGGGAGAGCCACGTAACTGACGGCTGTGTCCACAGAGCTGGGAAGCAAGTTCGGATTCTCTAGCAGGAGTCTCTTCCCAGGACACGGCTCAGCGGGCTTTCTCCTCTTGGAGGGGGGATTTTCCACGACATCACAAGCCCTGATGCTAAGGAGCTGACAGGGTGCAGCTGGTTGGCGTGTGGGGAAGGAGAAACCATAACCCCCCAGGGCTGCGTTTAACCAGAGCCCCCGGAAGCTGGCTCCTCTCTTCTGGCCGCCCAAAGTCTGGATTCTCTGGAGATGTGAATTGCATGGACAGGTAAATAATTTTTAAAAAATAACAACAGCCTAGCCAGTGTGGCTCAGTGGTTGAGTGTCAACCTATGAACCAGGAGGCTTAATTCCTGGTCAGGGCACATGCCCGCCTTGTGGGCTTGAACCCCAATGAGGGCCTTGCAGGAGGCAGCGGATCAATGATTCTTTCTCATCATTGATGTTTCTATCTCCCTCTCCCTCTCCCTCTCCCTTCGTCTCTGACATCAATAAAAATTATTAAAAAAAAATAATAATGTTGCCCTGGCCGGCTTGGCTCAGTGGATAGAGTGTCAGCCTGCGGATTGAAGGGTCCCAGGTTCGATTCCGGCCAAGGGCACATGCCTGGGTTGCGGGCTTGATCCCCAGTGGGGGGCATTCATGAGGCAACCAATCAATGATTCTCTCTCATCATTGATGTTTCTCTCTCTCTCTCCTTCTCCCTTCCTCTCTGAAATCAATAAAGAAATATATTTAAAAAAATAATAATAATGTCAACCAAAGAACTTGTATGCATATATGCATAACCCATGGACACTGATAATAGGGTGGTGAAGGCCTGGGGTGGGGGCAGGCTA